ATATATATATAGTTTAAAATAGTGACCGAAGCAAATTACTTTTTATTGTCTATATATTAAGCAAGTTAACAGACATTTGTCGGGTAAAGCAATATTAAGATTGTTTGAACTACACAATATCTTCATAAACTCTATTACATCTTGGAGTGGGGTATGACGCTTGTCCCATAAAGCGCGCGATGAATCATTTCTTCTGTAAAATAACGCGAACATAAAATCTTTTTCCTACACGGTAATGGTGGATGTGTCCTTTTTCTTCACCGGTAATCGTTTTCTTCATTAGCAACATTGATCGTATCCGGTATAAATGACAAACATATAACCAAACGGGAAGCTTTCCCTGCATGGTATTCTAGTTCCGTAATGCGGTCATACACGGAACTTTTACATTCCGCTGTGCATTAATATCCGCGTAATGATAAGCTGATGTGTGTCTTCCAACAAGCGACACAGTGATCATGTCGTCTTTGTTTAACATTAGCAAACAACAAGGATGTAATGATCCATTGTATCATTTGTATCGCTTGTTGAAAGACACACGATATCAATGATATTTTTGCAAAAAGAAGCGTTTTTTGCAAATTTTGGAAGCGTTCACATAGTATAACATTATAATTTTTCAATTACTATTTTTTTTGCTATATTTTACAGAAAAAAATTAAACGCATCCTTTATTTATACATTACACATAATTGCATTGTTTTTCTTTATAAATTAAAATTTTTTTTATGACAAAAGTTTGATGAAAGAATGTTATTTAATTTTCAATAAATTAGGAGAATTAGGAGCCGCAATGAATTTCTCTTTTCAAATAATAAAGAAATAAGATTTTATTGAACATTTTATATTTTATATTTTATATTTTATATTTTAAATATAAAAAAGTTTCTTAATATTAAATTAATATTTATTATCACTTAATTAGATTATTTATTAAATTTCCCTCATACACAATTATAATTTTGATCTAAATTAAAATATTTTGTTGTCGAATTAATAAATTTAAATTTTCTTCAGTAATTTTTTTATATTATTTTCAACTTATTAAAAAATCATCTGCATGCATTTTTTTGTATTTTTGTAAAACAATGAAAAACCCAATGAAAAACATTTAATAAAAAGAGCTATATTAACGTGTTTTCTCATAGCTTGTAGAAATCACATTTAATTTATCTGGCTCGATTGATTTATATAAAATGTTTTTAGTGTAAATTTCTCGAGGGATTCTTATTAATCGGGGTCGATGACAAGCGACCAATGCATTAACGATTAATCGCATAATCACGCATTTTCCCAACGATTTATCACGAGTAACACTCTTAAATGTAACGTATATTCGATTTATTGCCGTTGTAATTTGTAGAAGGTTACCTCTTCGCATCTTTACATCTCCCTCCTTCGTCATGACTCCGAAGAATTACATTCCTTGCGACGCCCACTTGTCTCGTAGGGCACAGTGATGAAATCATCTCTTTGGAATAGCACGCGCATCAAAGCGAATTTACACGGTCTACGCTTGATGATCATCTTGAATGAGTCATTTAAGCACCTGAATGGATTTTTGTTTAGACATACAAGACTAGTCCCTAAGCCTCACAAGATAGAACAACTGGCAAACAAAGTGTGCTACAAAAAAATAAACATTAAAAATTTAGCATCTGTACCTCACATTTAATGCGAGTGTTTAATTCAAAAAAGATTTTATTTCTGTTTATATTAAATATGAATTCTTTTATATTTATTTTATTAAAGAACAAATTCTACGTGTCTTTGTAATCACATACAGCTTTCAATTATGATAATTAACACTCAAACTACCGATGATTAATTTATTTAATTATGTTGCATACATTACATATATAAAAGAAAGGATAAAAGGAAAGAAAGTAAATTGATCATTTAATTATTTATATATTGAACAAAATATATCATAGAAGATCTCAGAAAATACGTTATTATAAATTTGAATAATTAAATAATAATTGAGAAAAAAATATAGTCAATTTTAATAAATATTTAGTTCAATACTGCCACCTAAACATTTACTTACAGTAAATAAATATTTTTTCAGTAAAATAAAAGATTGTTAAATTAATCTTACTTGTATCAAATAAATATATCTTTATATTTAATAAATATTTAGTTGGCAGTATTCAACTAAATATTTATTAAAATTGACTATATTTTTTTCCAGTGTACAAAAAAATTAACTATCATTTTATTTTTAATAGTGTTAATTCCGCAGACGAAACTAGAAGTTCCACTTCCTTCATTCTTGTTTTTTCTGATCAATCTAATTCACTACGCTTTCATTTCTGAATGATTCTCCCGGATGCTCATCAAAGACGAACCACGTACCTAAACTCGACTTTAGAGACATCGTCTTCGTCCTTCCGCATTATGACAGTAACAACGAGTGCGAGCTTTTTTATACCGGATAGAGGACATTGCGTGAGGCTAATCAGAGAGAGAAAGAGGAGGATAGAGAAGGAAAGACTCCTACGGGATATCCCATCTGCGCGAGAGAGCGCTTAATAACGAGCGCGCAACAAATGCGTACGCGCGTACAATTGCCTTCCCGCACCTCCGCCGTAGCAGCGCCCTAATGATGCGCCTGGAAGTTTGTTAGAGTGTTGGCACGGACGTTGATTATAATTTATGGTCGGCGAGGCTTCCATAAAACATCGACCGTGCTTTTCTTTCCAAGGCGGTGCGAGGCGACATGACGGCCACGCTCTATAACGCTTTCTCGACCGGGAATCCACGAAGATTTGAGTCCGGCATTTTGCCAAAACGCGCAATGAACAAAATGTCTCAAATAAAAAAAAATGTATTAGAATCAAAGTCAGAGTTGTCATTTATTAGATTTATTAGATAGCTATATTAGATAGCTAATTACATTCTTTAAAATATAAAAATATTATTACAAAAAAAGAGCAACATTGTTATATTACAATATAATTATAACATATAAGATGCAAAAAACAAAAATGAAGAAATAAAAAAATAAAAATACAATAGACAGACATCTACTTTAGATAAAAATGTACTTGGTACTTAACACAACATCGTCCAAACTTTAAAGCAATCTGATATTTATTTTCCGGATGAAGAAAGCGCGTCTAAATCTCGAGTAAATATAAAACTCAATGCAGTGCGTCGATTAGCATTTTGCGACGTAAAAATTCAAGATAATAAATCGTCCTTTCGCTACAACTCTACCGTGCCGGCAGCTGTATTGCTGTAAAACGTTGCATTGTTACGGTACCGTAAATTGTGCGCAAGCCGACCTGTCGATTTATATCATTAATTGTCGAACAAACTGAACATTACCGGTACACGGTTTTATAATATCAAAGCATGTATATCTCGTGGTTTGCAAATTAATAACAGCTTTGACAAGGCAAAACTAATTATTCCTTGAATTCCCATCTCTATATGAGCATCCCCGTACTTGAAAGAAATAAAAAGAATAAAAAAAAAAATAGCTCATTTATCGCGCTCATCGATGTGACTCGTTTAATCTCATCTTTCCTGTGCAACTAACCGCGCCTGGAAAAGAGCTCAAATACGCGTATAATTACCATTTGCATACAGATCGCTCCTGCCATGAGATTAGGACAATCGCTGTCATTAAGCGATCAAAAATCGTGTATAATGTATCCGTAAACATACAGATTTGCGACAGCTTTGCGGCGATCCCGTTTCTTAATTGCTACTTGAGCCTTTATCGTACTTTAATGATAGGGAAGACGTAAATAGTAGTGATGAACTAACGACAATGCTCGTGGTATTCTTTTTCTGTACGTGCGGTACATAAGTGTATAAGCGAGTTTCGCGTTTTAGATTTATCTCAGACCAATGCAATCTTCTGTGAATAATATGATTTTTACAGATATCATTTAAAAACTCTAATTCATAATTTTTACCTTGAGTAAGAAAAGAAGAATGACGAAAAGTCTAACTAGTTATATAAATAAATTAATCGTCGATTTTATAATAAATAAATTCACATTATTTTTATAATCAATAAAAAAGAAAAATAGTTGCTTTTTTGATTACATCATATATTTTACACTGTACAATTTACATTGAAAATCTAAAATTGATTTGGAAAAAAAAAACATGATTTTTAATTTAACTAACAACAAGTTACAATATCGCGATAAATAGTCACATTAATATTTCATCGTTTTTATTCGTAAGAATTAATATTTCTTTCGTATTTAATATTCTCATTTATATCGCGCAAAGTGATAATTACTTAATAGATAAGAAAAAAAATGAACTCTGACCGATATATAGTAAATCGATAAATCACAGTTATAATAAATCAAGAAATATATATATATATATATATCATTTATAATAAAACAGGCCAGTACAACGT